CTGTTGTCGTTTTTCCACTCTTCAGCAGCTGCAACTCGTTCGCGCTTTAGCCCGTATCTTTTCATGGTTGTGCTTGAGCGAGAGAAGCTGTGTGCGAGGCGGCTGACTAGCGGAAGAGGAGCAGCTGAGCCCGTCGAAGGGACTTCTCAACGAAAAGCTGGAGCTGGACAAGCTGGGCGTGCCGAGCGCACTCTCAACGCAAAGCGAGAAGGCGACAGTGACGAGGTGTGGAGGCAGGGAAGCAGGCGCAGGCGAAGCAGGCGAGGTAGCGGTCAAATCGAGGAGCGAGTGCCGTGTGTTGAGCGGGCGAAGATGCGCAAGTCGTGCAATGCAGACGGGTTGAACTCTACGTAATCGCAAGCGAATCTGCGTGCACATTCCTGTCAGTCTGGTACTTGAAGGAGACGGAATGATGCGGACGCACCCGCTTCGCACCCTTTGCGAGCCGTCAAGCGGATCCACCACCAAGTTCTTGACGACCGGATCGCTGCGATGGACTGACCATGACGATACAGACGAAATGTGCGAGGCGTTGAGGAGCATCAGAGTACGACAGACAAGTGGATGACGCGAGAGGCGAAGGCGACCGTGATGCGATTGTTGCGGGAAGGGCGGGCTTGTTGGCGCGACGCGGATGTGGTCGGCGAGAGAGCCGTCACGACGACGGATGGTGGAGAGCGACGAGGACAAGACGGTTCAGTAGCCTGCGAGAGAGGGCGTGTCAGCTCGCGAAGAAGGCCGCCGAGGCAAAGGCAGATTCGACAACGCACAGCACTCGCAATCGAACGGGCAGAGCGGCGTATCTGTACAGCAGTAAAGTCAGAACTTCGTTGAGAACGTCGTAAGTCGCAGGAGGCAGACTCACCGCCACCGAAACCAATCTTCAGCTCCGCCTCGCTGTAAATGGGCAAGCCGTCCTCCGTTCGCTTTCCTGCGGGGTCATGGCAGTCAGCTCACCTCACAATCTGCGACTCAACGAGAGGCGAAGGAATGCCACTCACGGTTCCCACGACTATCCATGAACCGCTCCTCCTCCTCCTCCGCCCGCTTCTCCTCCTCCGTGGCATTCTCGCCGAGCTCTTTACGCGCAAGTGGAGGTGGCTTGTACGTCTCGATCGTCTTGGACGTGTCGACAACGGTCTCTGGCACCCTTCGCGGCGCTGCGTCCTCCTCGACAGCTTCCTCCGTCCGCGAAGGCTTCGTCACCGCTCCAGCCGCCGCTCCAGCCGCCGCCTTCTTCCCTTTTTTGCCCTTCTTGCCCTCAGCCGCAAGGCCCTCGCCTATCCCAGCTCCACCAGCCTCCGCCGCAGCTGCTGCAGTCGGCAGCTTTGGCTTTTTGGCGGCCGCAAAGATGTCGTCGATCTCGCCTCCCTTGCGCTTCTTGCCCGCCTCGACCGGCTTTGAGGAAGATTGCGACGGAGCCTGGGCGGCAGCCTTTGCCATCTGAGCGGGAGAGGGGGAGCACGGCGAGTTGTAAGCGCGAGAGGTGGGGAAGCGATGGAAGCGAGCTGTTGACGGCGACGACGACTCGCTGGGGGTCGCTTGGCTTCGTAGATAGAATGAGTACTAGCCTCTGTAAGGCCTTAGCAACCCACCAGACCCGCACAACGAGCGGGAGGTCGCCGCTTCTCCTGCACGTTCACGGCTCTCGCTCGAACCAGCTCACGCTACCGCTCGACCGGGCTCGCCAGTGTGCTAAATCGCTAGAAGGAGCTTGTGAAGGCTCGGAGCGTCGGTCGCAGCGTCTTGCGCAGCTTCATCGGGACTCGCCAGAGCCGCTTTCATCCTCCTCAGGTAAGCTGCTCCAATCCGCCTTTACAGGCTCGTGGGACGTGGCTGAGCACTTCCTCGCACTCGCAGAGCTACTACTGCTCAGCGTACACCCATACGCGGTCCTTCTACCACCCTCGCCGACCCCGTTCGACCACCTCTCCTGCGTCATCTCGCTGCCTCCTTTCCACCGCGCGGACCGAACAGGATGCAGTCCGACACGCAGCAGCAGTACCCGCACACGAAGGTGCTCTTGCAGTACCTCTTTGCGACCTACGGCAAGGGCAAGGCCGGCAGCAGTCCGCCGCAGCCTCTCCCGCCGAACAACTCGATGTCGCTCCTCGAAATGAGCGTCCGCAAACTCGCTCTCGCGCAAAGTCGAGCCGCGTCGGCAGCTTCGTCGTCGAAAGCGCCGAGCGAGGCGAGTGCGACGACGGATGATGAGGACAGCGAGGCGAAGAGCGTATCGAGTTCGGGCAAATCGGCGGCGGAGGATCTACCAGACGACGAAAAGTGCGTCCTTCTGCTCTGCATTATCAGCGGAGTACTGACCAGTTGAGCGACCTGCGCAGGACGAGAATCGTCATCAAGCAGCTCGACGACCCGAGCATCGACGAGGACGACATGCCCGATGCGCTTAAGGAGACGCTCAACGAGATGCTCATCCTCCCACAAGGCGTAGGTTTGGTGTGAATCAGCTCCTGTCGCACTTCGCTGACCCGTTGCACGCCTACAGGAACCGGTCAACCTCGACTCGCTCATTCTCTCACTCCTCCACCGACATCGCGAGGACGTTCACCCGACCGGCAACCCCGTTCCTCCGCTTCCCAATCACGGTTCGGTGACGCCCGGCTCCCGTCCTTCGCTTTCTCGCTCCGGCTCGTTCCGCCGGACGGCCTCGCCTGGCATGCTCACGCCAGGCGGCAACAACGCCGCCAACTCTCGCTCGCCGTCCGGCTCTCCCTGGTCCTCACCAAAGCCGGCGACGCTCTCGCTCAACCCAGCGTCAGGCGCCTTCAAGTTCTCGGTTGGCGCGAGCGAGTTCACACCGGGCGGAGCAGGAAATGGCAAGGCGTCACCAGGCATCCCCGGCTCGCCTCTCCGAGCACGCAGTCCGATGCCGATGACGGCCCAGCAAGCTCAGCAGAACTGGGCGCTGAACCACTCGCCGCTCAGCACGCCCAAGCATTCGCAGCCACCGTCGATGCAGGGAACTGCTTCGGCCGCCTCTTCGCCCGGCTACTTTCCCCGCCAGCTCGACTCGCCGGGGGCCGGTGCTGGAAAGGCGCGGATCCCTCGCCTGCCTTGGGCCGACCTCTCGGACGCAGGCAACGCAGAAGAAGACGTTGATCCTTCCTCCGCTCGAATTGACGACGCCGCACTGCCACCTGAAACGCTCGCCGCTTTTGGTGGACAGAACAGCTCGCTGTATTCGCCTGCCATCCCAATCGACCAGGCCTACGCGGACCAGTACCCGATCGAGGGCGGCGAGGCGCAATGGGTCGAGCACCCGGATGGCGGCGGCTACTTCTACCCTCCGCAGGCGTATCCTCCGCAGGGCTACCCTGCCGAGTACGGTGTCTACCAGGGCGGGCCGATGTACGACCCGTCAGGCATGTTCCCAGGCGACGGGACCCTCACGCCTGGCGGGACCTTCATGCCTCGCGGTCCTGGTCCAGCATTCATCACCCTACCCGGTCCAGCACCTGGCGAGATGCCCTCTATCGACTTTGCGAACCAGCTGAGCGGGTCGTCCGGCATGGGCGGCATCGGCGCGTACGCAATGACGCCGTTCGACCACCTGCACTCAATCTTTGCCGGCTCCGACGTCCCCGAAAACGTACTCGAGGACGCTCTCCAGCAGAGCGGCTTCGACGTCGACAAGGCTATCGAGTACATCATCGATCAGCAGCTCGGCAACGCCCCGCCTGTCCCGCCTGGCGCCTTGCCTCCGCCTGGTCTCGAGCCCCTTCAGCCGCGAGGGTACGGTGGTACGGGATCCCGACCGCTCATCATCTCGCGCGACTCATTCGATGCGTTTGCGGGCGGGAATGGCGGACGAGGCTCGCCGAGATGGGGAGCGAGGTCGGGCACGCCGACAGGCGAGGGACGAGGGAAAAGCGGGCGCGTCTGCCGATTCTACCTTGCTGGCAACTGCTTGAGGGCGGACTGCCAGTTCTCGCATGATGTCTCGAAGGCGGTTTGCAAGTGCGTCCCGTTCGCCGTTCCCTCTTTGCCTGCTTCCATTGACCTTCATCTCGGCGCAGGTTCTGGCTGCGAGGTCACTGCTTGAAGGGTGACGGAAGATGCGATTTCTTGCATACGATTCCTCCGGTGCGCCCTTTCTTTCGTTCGGATCCTTCCGCCTCTCGCTCACAAATCTTTCGCCGCAGGTCATGCGGGCCGACTACGAGGCGCGGTCACGCCTTCGACAGGAAGCGATGATGCCGCCACCTGAAGCAGAACCCGACGTAGGACCCGAGCTGGACTTCCCGACTCTCGGCGACGCGCCTCGCTCAAGACGACCGCTGGGCGGATCAGGCGCGCACAGCGTACAGCTGGACCCGTCTCGGACACGCTTTGCCGGCGCCGTCAAGTTTGGCCAGAAATTGCAGTCGCCCGTCCCGCCTCGCGCTGCGCCATCCACCACGCAGGACGGCCTCCCCGCACCTCGCAAGTCCGGCCGCATCGCCCTCCGACCTCCCGCTCTCCTCCCGACCCTCCCTACCGGCAGCGCTCTCGCCACCCTCTACATTCGCTATCGCCAGAACTTCCTTGAGCTCGGCGCCAACCGGAACAAGTGCCTCGCAAAGGCTGCCGAGTGCTACAAGCGTGGCGACGGTGCCGGTGCGCGCAAATGGAGTCGCGAGGCGCAGGACTGGAGTCGCCAAGTCGCGATCGAAGGGCGGGACTCGGCGTTGCGGATCGTCGAGGAGCGAAAGCGTATCCTGAAGGAGGCGCTCGACCAGGGCGAGGGACGGGCTGGGATGGCGGACGATGCGCCGGACCGCAAGGTGCGAGGGCAGGAGCGCGGCGGAGGCATCTGCCTCGGCGTGGTCTCGCTTGCCGTCCTGAAGGAGTCGCGGCACTTGACGGAGGAGGAGCGGACGGAAGTCGCGATCGACCTCCACGCGCTGCACACCGACGAGGCCATCAGCTTCATGGGCGACTTCCTCCTCAAGCTGGAGGCGCAGAACTTCCAGGGTCTCGCCTTCGTCGTCATCGGCCAGCAGAAGCACAGCGGGTCGTCGGCGCCAGACAAGGGTGAGGCAGCTGGCCGGTTGCGACTTGAACAGGCGACGACCCAGTTCCTCAGTGACCAGGGCTGGGCGTGGCAGAATTTTGGCGGCATCCTCGCCATCGACTGCCTCCGTTGAGCGCGCCTGCCGTTGTGAGGAGACCGACGTTGGCCCTCGCCTCCCCTCGCTCGACTGTCTCCTTATTCCATTCCATCCAGACTATATCGTAGACCTAAAGACGCTGCAACGAACAGCCCAAAGAAGTGCCCGTCCTCCTCGTGTCCTCGTCGCGCGCTTTGCCGATTTGAGAAGGCCAACACGTCATGCTCGCGAGACGAAGCGGTGTCGCCTCTCTGCCTTCGACCACACACTCGCTCGTACTGCCTGCATTATGGGAGACGAGGAGAACGAGAAGAACGGCGGGCGGTACGAGGGCATCGAGGACGAGGCGTCTGGCGGGACGAGTTCGCTCTCGACAGTCGCGCATCGACCTGCTGTTCCTCCGCTCGCTTGCATGCGTTACTCGCCTCGACCCTGCGTCAATCAGGACATTGTCGACGCTTTGAAGCCTCTGCGGGACTGGCGCTTCGCCGAGTACGGTTGTGCGCACCCTTCTCCCTCGACTCCTCCGCATCGCTCGATCTGCTCACTCTGCGCTGCTCTTCGACAGCTGGAAGTCCGGAAGGCATCTCATACGCTACTGCTATCTCCGTCATCATCGCTTGCCCTTACAAGATTCGTTCGGGCGAAGAGGCTCGCGCACTCTTCAAGGCGCGTTCCCGCCTGGTCCTCCCGCTCGACAGCTTGCTAAACTCCGTTCCCGTGCAGGTCGGCGGTAAGATTGCGCTTCGTATAGACGAGTTCCTCGAGACGGGACGGGTTAAGGAGGCCGGTAAGTTTCGCTCCTTCCCTCGTTCGCCTCGTACCGTCGCTCACGCCTTCTCCCGCAGACGACCTAGCACACAACTCTCGATACCAGGCGCTCAAGTCACTTATGACTGTGCACGGCGTCGGGCATCACACGGCGAAGCAGCTGTACGAACAGGGTTATCGCTCGGCGGAGGACATGCGGAGAAGCGGCAAGTGGGAGAAAGAGTTCCGCTACCACGACGACATACAGATACCGTTAGTCGTCCTTTCAGGGCAAGTTCAGCTCAGGTTATTGACCGCCTACATCCGCACGCAGCATCCCTAGATCCGAGGTCGAAAGCATAGAGCGCTTCGTCAAGCTGCAGCTCGACAGGATACAGCGAGGCAGCCATATTGTTATTACTGGAGGGTACGCTCCGCCTTTCGGCCTGTGCGAGAACCTGGCTGACTTTGGGACTGCAGGTATCGACGAGGGAAGGTCATGTCAAACGACGTAGACTTGCTTATTACCTTGTGCGTCGCCTCTACCGCAGTGATGCCCAAGGTCGCTAACGTGAGCTCGCCGCAGCCCGCATCAAGACGGCAAGGAACGCGGGATACTGCGCAAGCTGTGCCGTCGACTCGAAGCGAAGGGTACTTTTCCCTCGCTCGCTTCCCTCGCAGCGCTTGCTGACGTTTGTACTCCAGGTCTTATCCCTCCCGATGGAATTCTCTCCTTCAGTGAGCCCGCAACGCTGCGATCCATCAAGGAGAACAAGAAGGCGACCTCTTTCGACTCGCTCGACAAGGCGCTCGTCGTCTTCCGCCATCCAGCAAACGGCACGACCCGAAAGCGCGACATGTATCGACGTGTCGACCTCATCATTTCGCGGTGGCCAAGCTTCGGCGCAGCAGTAATGGGCTGGAGCGGGTCGACGCAGTTTGAGCGGGACTTGCGGAAGCATGCTGAGAAGCTGTGCGTCTGCATCCTCATTTGGAACCGTCGCGCTGCTCACGTCTCAGCTTGTGCAGAGGCTACAAGTTCGACTCTGGCGGACTGCGCGTCCGCGGAACGCACGAAGTCGTGCCGACCATGATGGAGAAGGACGTCTTCCGGGCGCTCAAGCTGAAGTACATCCGTACGTTCGAGTTCCCTGGAAGGTCGCGACCAGCGTAATTGACGATGCCTACGCCTACAGCGCCAACATACCGGAACGCAGACCCTTGACGGCGCATTGCAGCATGCTATGGCCCGTAATCAGGTCCGTCCCCCTCTTCCTCATCGACTCGAGGCGTCTGACGCGTTCGTTGGCCTGGTGTCGCTCCTCGAAGATACGAACCTTACGGTTATCACGCCAACAGGGTCACGATCCAGCCGAAGGGTGAGCTGTCGTCGCCCGCCTTTTTTCGCTCTGAAAGCTGACCGTCTTCCGCCTCGCCTTGCAGACATCCAGCTCGCTCGTCGTCTCCGTGGCGAGCGCCAGTAGGTTGATCCCTCGCTAAGCTTCGCTTATCCACTTCGTCTTTCGTCCTCGCTTGTTGTCCTTTTTCCACCCTTCGCCGCTGCAACGTTCGCGCTCAAGCCAGCATCCTTTCCTGGTCGTGCTTAGCGAGAGGAGCTCTGTGCGAGGCCGGTTCACCAGCGGAAGAGGAGCAGATGAGCATGTCGACCGGACGACTCGACGAAAAGCTGGACCTGGACGAGCTGGGCGTGTTGAGCGTGCCCCTGTCGCAAATGCGAGAAGGCAATGGTGGGAATGCGAAGCAACCGCGCCGAAGTAGGCATGACTGCGCGCAAGTTGAGGCGTATGGAGGCCGCGCGGTCACAGAGCGGGCGAAGATGCGCAATTCATGCGAAGCAGGCAGGCGGGTCGAGGTCTACTTCATTGCGATGGCCCTACACAGGAACTCATCAGCCTGATGCCCGTGCGAGACCAGAAGCGAGACGCACCTGCTACCGATCCTCCGCTTTGCCGTCCAGCGGCTCGACCTGCGCATACTGCTGCTCCCAGTACATCAATGAGCCCGACCCCTCCTTCGCCTGTCCCAGCGAGACCTGCTCCACGCGCGCAATAAATAGCTCAGACCGCGGTTGTTGCGGACCGTCCTTCCTTCGCTCCATCGAGTCCGAGACATCCTCCCCCAAATCGGACAAAGGTATCCGCTTGACCACCTTGCAGTCCATCCATCCCAAGCTACTCTTCTCAAGCTCGTCGAAAAGTGCTGGCTCGAAAGCGGGCGACGAATCCCAACTTTGGCCGGATGGTTGAGGTGAAGGAGGAGGAGAGGGTTGTGCCGGTGCGGGTAAAGGTGCTTGTCGGGCAAAGGCGCGGGCTAGGGACTCTTGTGAAGTCGACAGGAGGTGTACGCGGAACGAATTCGTCGAAGGGGCATCAGGCGAGGAATGGGTGGAGAGGAAAGTCGCGAGTCGAGAGGGTAAACGCAGGGAGAATGAGACGAGCGGCGGGGATAGGGAGATGCTGGCGAGAGATGATAGGGTCGCTCCGTGATTATGCCGTTCGTTCTGGCCCGTTCGTGCGGTTGCGTCGCTGGCTTGGCCATCGGGAGAGGGGATGCGGGCGGTGATGACGGCCACAGGCTGCGCTACACGGCGGAAGAGCTCGCGCTGGAGTGGTGAAGGCAAGCTGCCGTTGCTAGCGGTCGATTGAGCTCGTGCCAGCCATAACCGAAGCGGTGTGCGGGTTCGAGGAAGCATCGCAAGGTTGAAGACAGGGAAGGCGAGGCGAAAGCGGATCTACTCTCGCTCACAGGCTTTCGTGGACAATGTAGACACGCTCGGGAGGTCAATGCATAGTCTTACAAGCCGTTCGGCGCAAAAGCACCGCGGCGGAGGAGTTGTAGTGAAGACAAACGAGGGGGATGGACGAGGAACGTGATTAGTCGGTGGCAGAGGTAGACGAGTAGGTGGCAGTGTAGCGAAACGAACGTCTAGTGGAGACAGTGCGCCTTCTTCGATGGCGGAAGAGAGTGGTACAGGTGGACGACACTTCGGGGCGACGCCGCTCATTCCTTGACGGGCGGCAAGGTGGTCGACATCGACGGCGAGCGCGAGTGGGCGCCGCGAGGCGACATCGGCTGGAGTTGACCGAGACCTCTTTCGACGAGCTGCTGCGTCGACAAGCTTGGGTCGTGAGCGGCGGGGTCGTCCAGCGACCCGCTCTCCGGCCTCCAGCCTGCGCCGACCGAGCCGATGACGAGCGTCGGGACCATCGCACTGCAAGCGAAAGCCTGGTCAGCACGAGAGAGGGCGCGAGAAGAGGTGCACGACTCACAGGAGATGAGTGGGCTGCAGGTCCATGGCACGGAGCTGCTGGGCGCGGCTGCGCGGGCGGCGGAACTTGAGAATGTTCGTGGCGCGAGCACGTCCACCGCGGACGGTCGAGTAGACCTTGAGGCCGTCGATGGCGCGCTGGATACCCTCGGCCCACTTGTACTCCTCGGCGGCCTTGTTGACGCTCGGCAAGTCGGTCTTGGAGAGGTCGGGGTAGAGGTGCAAGCGGACCATGAAGCGCTCGACTGGCTCGGGAGGGATCATGCGAAGGAGAACGGCGATGGGAAGCGAGATCAAGCCGATGATGATCGAAATCGCCCAGTCCCTGCCGCCGATGCGGACGACCTGGAACGCGGCGCCTCCGACATTGACGATGAGCGCTTGACCGCCGACCACTGCGTGCACGAGCGAGGTGAGCAAGCGAAGTAAGAAGAAGGCGGAGGAGACGACACACTGATCGCGAAGATGAGCATGAACCAGATGTTGCGGTGGATGCCGACGAAAATGTTGAGCTTGCGGTCCAGCTGTTGGCGAGAGCGTGAGCGAGAGAAACTGTAAAGCAGAGTGGCTCGCACGCACCCTCCTCGCATTGAGCATGTTGAAGATCTGGGAAAAGACGAATGCGTTGAAGATGAGGGTCTTGAGCTCATTGTCCTGGTCAATGCGCTTGCCCGAGTCGGACGAGTCGAGGCTGAGGATCTGGTGGCCGGCAAAGTTGAGGACGAGGGCGACGACGATCTGGTAGATGGCCTGGCCGATGATCATGATCCACATCTGGACAGATATGAGCGGCGCGGTCTTGCGGTCGGGCTTGCGCTCGAGCGATTCGGGGTCTGCAGGGTCGGTAGCGAGGGCGAGGGCGGCGAACTGCGGCGGACGAGCAAGGTGAGTGAGCACTCGAGGCAGAGTCGCTGACTGAACTCACGGTATCCATGATGAGATTAACCCAGAGCAGCTGGACGGCGGTGAGGACGGACGACTCCTCCGTAGACGCGACAGCCGTGACGAACGTGATGACAACAGCGGTGATGTTGACCGAGAGCTGGAACTGCGGGTGGAAGGCAGGTCAAGGCGAGGTCAGCTTCATGCGGCGCTCGAGCGGGCAAGGTCAAGCCAACGCACCTGCAGGAACTTGCGGACCGAGTCGTTGACGCAGCGACCCCACATGATGGCCGAGACGATCGAGGCAAAGTTGTCGTCCATGAGGATGATGTCGGATGCCTCCTTCGCGACCTCGGTACCGGCGATGCCCATCGAGAACCCGACGTTGGCCGTCTTGAGCGCCGGTCCGTCGTTCGTGCCGTCGCCCGTTACGCCAACAACCTCGCCCATCGACTTGAGGGTCTCGACGAGGATCTTCTTGTCCTCGGGCGAGGAGCGAGCGAGGACCTGCAAGTTCGGGACGACCGAGAGGCGCTGGCTGTCGGACAACTTGCGGAAGACCGGGCCCTCCATGATGATGCCGCCCTTGGTGAAGATGCCGCACTGAGTCGCGATCGAGCGGGCGGTGAGGACGTTGTCGCCCGTGCACATCTTGACCATGACGCCGGCGCGCTGGCACGTCGCGACGGCTTTGGCGACACCCTCGCGGAGTGGGTCCTCGATCGCCGTGATGGCGATCAGGGTCAAGTCGTCGGCCATGTCTTCGTACGCGACTTCGCCCTCGGCATTGGTCTGCGCGCCCTTGGGCGGCCACGAGGCGAAATCGCGCGAGCAGAGGGCGATCGTACGGAGCGACTGGCACGCGTAAAAGATGATGGTGCGCGAGATGTTGCCGCGGGTCTCGTCGTCAAACTCGGCCGTCGGGACCTCGTCGTCCTCCGATCCTGCCTCGCCGCCGTTCTCCTGGACCGTGACGTGTCGAGTCGAGAGCTTGGCGAGGACTTCGGACGCGCCCTTGAGGTACAGGCGGTACTTGCCGTCCGGAAGCTTGACGACGACGCCCATGCACTTGCGCTCGGACGAGAACGGCACCATCTGGACGATGTGGGCTCCCTCGCGAACAGCGCGGTAGTGCGGCCATCCCTGAGCCTGGGCGAACGACATGAGCGCCGTCTCGGTCTTGGACCCGACGAAACCGCCCGTCGCGCCGTGCTCGTCCGTGCCCTCGAACGCAGTCGAGTTGATCACGATCGAGTCGTTGAGGAGCTTGCGCAAGGCCGGAGAAGCATGCGCCGAGATGGCGGTCATGTCGGCTGAAAAGTCGAGGCGTCCCTTCCGAGGCTGCGGGTCCGCCACCTCCTCGGCCGCCTTCTCATCCTCGACAACCTTCTCCGGGTCGCGGTCGTCGTTGGCGTTGGTGCGCTTCGAGTTCTCCGCCAGGCGATCCGCAAACTTGAGGTGGACGCCGATCGACCCCGCGACGACAGTCATCTTGTTCGTCGTGAGCGTGCCAGTCTTGTCCGTACAGACGCAGGTCGCATTGGCCATCGTCTCGCACGCGCCGAGCACGCGCACAAGGAGGTTCATCTTGGTCATCCTGCGCGTTGCGAACGCGAGGGCGAGGGTGACGGCGAGTGGGAGTCCTTCGGGGACGGCGACGACGACGACTGTGACGGCGATGATGAGGACTTGGATGAAAGCTTGGGCTTTGTCGTTCGCTGATCGGTCGGGGATGGTCTTGAGCTGGACGAAGAAGCGGATCATGAGGGCCAAAAAGAGGAGGAGACCGGCTGCTGAACCGAGTTTGGCGATCAGCTCGGCGAGAGCGTTGAGCTTGAGCTGGAGAGGCGTGTCTTCCGTATCGCCTTGGAGGGCTGGGGGGCGCGAACGAACCAGTGTCAGACCTGCGTGCGGCTCGGTCGAGGGATTGGCAGGGCAACGCACACATCATGATCTTGCCATGGAACGAGTTCATCCCGACGCTCGTGACGACATACTTGCCGACTCCCTCAAGCACCTTGGATCCAGAAATCATGAAGCAGTCGGTCTTGCCCTTCCCTCCCTCAGCCTCAATCTCGTCATACGGCGCCTTCCTCACCGCATCCGACTCGCCCGTCGCGCCCGACTCGTCGCACCGGACGTTGTGGCCTCCGAGAAAGATGCCGTCGACGGGGACGATCTCGCCCGGTTCGAGGAAGAGGATGTCGCCCACGACGACGTCGTACACCGACATGAGCCTCTCCTGGCCCCCCCTCAACACCTTGACGCTCCGCTCCTCCTTCTGCGCATTCAGCTTCTGGAACTGCCGCTCCTTCTGGTAATCGTTGACCGAGCCAACGAGGACGACGATCAGGATGGCGACGACGATGGCGACTCCTTCGACCCAGTCGACTTGAGGCTGCGTGCACATGTTGGTGGGCGGACACGCGGTCGAGAAGTAGGTGTCGGGGGGAGTGCCGAGGTCTTGGTAGAGCCCGAGGGCGAGCGAGACGATCGCCGCGACGGAGAGGATGATGAGGACCTTGTCCTGCGTGCGGCGGTGGCGTACGACCACGAGTCAGTCTCGCCAAGTCCAGGGCAAGGAGACTCGAGGGTACGAAAAGCGCAAAGACGCACGGTATAAGCAGCCCAGCACAACGCCAGAAAGCTCTTGGGCTTGCGTCCCGGCACCCTGTTCTCTCCATAGACGCGCCTGCGATCCTCACCCTCCGCAACTGCTCCCTCCACTCCCTCCTCCCGCAAACCCACCTTCGCATCCGTCTTCAACCCCCTTAAAATCCCCTGCACGCCCCCAAGTTCGCGCAAATGCTCGAACGACTTGGGATCGACGAGGTTGTACAAGTTCGACGGCGTCAACTCGCGCGCGAAAGGGTCCATCTCTTCAGGCGGCGGGTCGTGGATCGTGTACAGCTCTCGAGGTTTCTTCGCGCGTCGAGGGAAGATGCCGAGGATTTTGCCCTTCTTTTCGTCGTCTGAGGCGGGAAGGGCGGTGTCTTCTACCCCGGGGGAAGAAGCGTCCCTCGGACCGTCGCCCGTCGCGGTCAAAGGTTTGCCCGCCGCATCAAGTCCCGCCTCGAGGTCCTTCGGAGCGCGGGCGCCCGACGTAGCCGGCGTAGGAGCATAGCCGTCGTTCGAGTCGGGCACGGTCGAGGCGAACGACGGAGCCTGCGAAGGGCGGCGAGAGTGCGAGGAGCGGTACCCTCCTGAAGCGGCTTCGACTGCTCGGCGTTTGCCGTCGGGCTGAGTGCGTGCGAGAGGGGAGCAAGGAGCGAGTGTCAGTTCGTTTCCAATGAGCGTGAGGACTGGGAGGCGATCGAGGGAACACGAGTGCCAAGACTCGGGAGGACGAAGGGAGCCTGCTTGTGGGCGGTGACCTCGTGCCAGTCGCGCCACAACATGCAGTCCCCTCGAAAAGCGTGTAAGGGAGCAGTCCCAAGACCGCAGACACTCCACCTGAGAGACGAGCCACTTCTGTGCGCCAGCCTCGGGGAACGAGAGTGTCCAGGAGCGGAACCCGTCCCGTCCTCCCTCGCGCGCGCCTCGGAGCCCTATCCAAGCCTAGTAGGGGTACGGTGGACTTACGTCAAGGTTGTCCCTGAGGCTGGTGGTGGTGCGCTGGTTGAAGAGGGGTTCGTTCGAGGGTGTCGGCGAAGGCGGTGCGGCGTCTGTCCCGCTCCCGCTTGCGCCGGCCGAGGAAGCGACTGTGGGAGCGAGTGAGAGTCGTCGTTGTGTGGTGGATGGCGAGTCGGGTGCGGGCGAGACTTGGACGGTTGGGATGGGCGGGGCGAGCGAGGGCGGCTGTGGCGGGTCCATGGCCCTGCGCTCTGTGGCTGACTGTAGCTAGTCACAGGTTGTAATAGGACGAGTTGGAGAGGAAAGAGAAGCAAGAGAAGTTGTGAGCGAGCGAGAGACGAGGCGTCGAGGCGATCGTGCGCGCGGGCTTGGCGAGGGCGAAGGGGGCGGTGCTCACTTTGTATTCAGAGCATTACAACCGAGTTTGTATTCAACTCGTAACAACTCCTCCACTCCCTTCTTCTCTCTCACTCACTGCTGCTCTCGTGTGCTCTTCCCGCTGGTTCTCTCATACGCACACGCTTCTCACTCACTCGCTCGTACCCTCCCCTCTGCTCACTCTCCCTTACCGGCACCGCCCCACTCACTCCCCTTGGCCTGGATGAACTTCCAAGACCTCCGCCGCAAAGCAGTCAGTCGCCTTCCATCGACTCTTGCTCGACCAAACTCACCCTTGACTTTCGTAGGAATCAGCCGCGTCGACAGCCCGCCTCGCCCACTCGCTCTCCTCCTCCCCACTCGGACAGAAACTCGTCGCTGCCTCAGCCCAACCCTCTCTCTCCGCCGCAGAACGCCCGCGGACCCCGCCCGAACCAGTCAAACCTTCACTCGCCTCTCAGCGTGGGGAGAACACCCCTTCGTGCCCGTCCCAGTCGCAGAGGTTCGCGAATTCGACGTCCCTCCAGCTACAGGCGAGTAGGAATGCCCCGCCCCCGCCGCCGACGAGGAGGGTAGGTGAGGGAGGGAGAGCGGTGCCGCCGGCGAGGGCGGCGAAACCGGCTGGGCTTGCGGCGGCGGGGGCGAGCAGTTCGAGGGCAGGTGCTCCTCCTCCTGCTCCTCCGCCTCGAGTAGGCTCCGCCGCCCCTCTCCCCGTCGATCCCCCACGACCCGTCCCCGCACCGCCCTATGCAGCCGCCCTCGCACCAACTCTCCCAGCCCGCTCTCACCCCGCTGCGAAGTCTCCGAGCGATTTCGAAGCGCCGACGAGGAGGAAGAGGTTCGATGAGTATGATGAGCGGGATAAAGGGGCGTTCTTTGAGGTGTTGGATGAGGTGCGTAAGCGCGAGAGCGTCCGCGACAGGGTTGACCTTCGTAGAGAATCTGGAGCTGATATTCCGTGAGGTCGTGCATGCAGTTCTTCAGCTCACGTCTAACTATCAGCACTACGACCAACGACGACACTACTTCACACCCCGTCCCTCCCGCCACACCTCCTCTCACCGCTCGTCCCGCCTCGACCCCCGCCTCCTCCTCCTCCTCCTCCTCCGACTCCTGCGCCGCCCTCTCACTCCTCCACTCCCTCCTGCACCCCTCCCCTTCGCAACCCCCTCCCTTCTCAACCCTCTTCTTCCTCTCTCCCCCGCAAGTAACCTCCCACCTCCCGCCCTTCCTCCTCTCCCGATCCGACCACCGCACCGCCTTCTCCTGGTCCCAAACCACTCCAAGCCGAATGACACACCTCGCTTGTGCGGTATTCGCAGACTCCAGTGTCGCGTGGTGGAAAATTGACTTTGACCCTTCTCTCGCGAGGGAGAAACTCGCGCGTGGAGAAGGAGTGAGAGTAGAGGGACGGTACCGAGCTCCTACGAAGGTTGAAGAGTGGAGCGCGGAGGAGTTGTTTGAGGCTTCGGAGGTGTATGGGAGGAGAGTGGCGGACTTTGCGCGGAGAGCGGTGGAGCGTGGGCAACCGGTCGGACGAGGAGAATGTTGGGACCTCGCTCACGATGCTCTCGAGTCCGTCGGACCCAAAGTCTGGGCGCAAGGAGGCGAGCCGCCCTTCCCCTCCATCGGCCGCTCGCACGGCGCACTCCTCTTCCATGCCTCCTCTGCGCGTCTCGACGAGCGAGGAAGGATAGTGGGAGAGTGGTATGGAGGGGATGGGTATGTGAGGCAGGGGGATGTGATTCAGTGGAGGAGCGTGAGGATCAGGGAGCTGGGAGGGAAGGAGGGGAGTTATTGTCTTTTGGGAGATCCGGAGGTGCGTACAGCTTCCTCGGTTCCTTTCAAGCTAGCGAACATGGGGAAGACTGACTCGGTTTGTTGGACGCGAAACGCAGCACACAGCGATCGTCCTCTCCCCTCACCCGCCCTCCTCTCCCCCCTCCCTTCCCCCTTCTCCGCCCTACAGCGACCCCTCCTACCCCCTCTCGTCACTCACAGCCCTAACAGTAGCCGAACAATCGCTCTCCCACCCTCCTTCCATCAGGACGTACGACCTCGGAACGATGGACGAGGGCGAAGTGTGGATCTATAGGCCTGCGAGTATGAGGAGGGTGACGGGCGTGAGGGGGGTGGAGACGGGGTGGGAGGAGTTGGATCGGGAGGGCGTGGAGTATCAGACTGTTAGGTAGGGCGAGGGAAGGGAAGAGGAGGGGAGGGAGGAGGGTGCTGGTCTTCCTCGTTTTGCAGCCCCTTGACTCTGGGAGTTTTCGCGTTCCTGCGACAGGTTCACGAGTGCGAGATGAGAGTACCAACGTCGCCGCTGTCCCGCTTGAAGCTGGTTTCGGCGAACCCTTGCTTTTTCTCGGACTTCGCACGAAGCGGCGGTTCGTCCTTGGCTTCTCTCGACTCGCTCGTCTCGCGCTCCACGGGCTTATCGCTCGCCCAATCTATCCACTCAGAGGTCGATATCGACTCTCGACTCGCCCAGCATGCAGCAACCCCCTCAACCCGCTTCAACATCCTCATCAGCTCACCCACCTCCATCCTCCCATCCTCCCTCAAGCTCCTCCACGCCCTCCCGCTCGCCGCCCAAGAACGTCGTAGTCACAGAAAAAGGGTGCGCTTGCCCTCTAGCCTCTGAGTGAAGAGAGAGAGAGCTGATTGGGTTGTGCGGGGAATGGCAGGAGGGCGCCTTGGTATTCGAAAGGTGCGTCTGCTGGGGTTCTTTCGGTTGGAGAGGGCTGATCAGGAAAGGGGAGACAGATGGCAAGCCCGCGCCGGCGTATATCATCGGTATCGGCGGCGGCTCAGCCTCAGGAAAGGTACCTCTCCTCTCCTCCGCTCCTCTGCCTCTCCGCTCGAGCTAACGCGAGGGAATGGGCAACAGACACGAGTAGCGATGCAAGTACTCAAGTCGCTCGGCGTCCCTTGGGTGTTGGTGATCAGCCAGGACAACTTTTACAAGAGTTTGACGCCCGAGGAGTCGCAGAACGCTTTCAACAATAATCACGGTGCGTTGCGCCACTCCGATACTGGGTAGAGCAGAAGGAGAAGGCCGGGGAGGTGGAGAGGAGGCAGGTGCTGATACCTGCTTGACTTTGCGGCAACAGATTTCGACTCGCCCGACTCTTTCGACTGTACGTCCGCCGCTGACAGCCTCAGCTTGAGTGTTCGAAGACTGATGACATTTGCCGCGTGGCCCGCAGACGACAAGCTTGTCGACTGTATCCGCGAGATGAAGGAATGCCGGGCGACGCACATCCCGAACTATAGCTTTGTCAAGCACGCCCGGCTAGACGAGACGACCTACCTGTACGGCGCCAACGTCGTCATCGTCGAAGGCATCTTTGTCCTGTACGACAAAAACCTGCGCGACCTGCTCGACTTGCGGGTGTTCGTCCAGTGCGACTCGGACCTCATGCTTGCGCGGCGGTTGAGGCGCGACCTCGTTGAGCGGGGGAGGGACGTCAATGGCGTGCTCGATCAGTACCTCCGCTTCGTCAAGCCTGCGCTCGACAACTTTATCCAGCCGACGAACCGTTTTGCCGACATCATCGTCCCCGGCCACAACAACGAGCGGTCGATCGACCTCATCGTCTCGCATGTCCAGCGCCAACTCGCAGAGCGGAAGCGGCAGTTCCGAGGCGAGCTGTACAAGGAGACGGTGTCGAATGGGATGGGCAGCGTACCTCCGACGCCGTCGGTCGAGAAGAGCGAGGCCGAGTCGGGTTTGGCGTTGATCAAGGAGCAGTGTGGCGTGAGCGAGGGGACGGAGCTGCCCGACACGGTGCACATGCTGAGACAGACGCCGCAGATGAGGGTGAGTTCCGCTTCGAGGGGCATGACCGCTGGCACCGCTCCAAGTGGCGCAGGTTGTCTTCATAGTCCGGAGCAGGTATCCCTGACGTCTGTATCCGCTCAGGGCATCCACACTCTCCTCCGCTCGACCGAAACCGACCCCGAAGACTTCATCTTCCTCGCGAATCGCCTATCTACCCTAGTCGCCGAACACGCCCTCTCCCTCCTCCCCTACCGCGAAAAGCCTATCGAAACGCGAACAGGCACCGAACACGTCGGCATGGAGCTCGCTATCCCCGACGGCCACCTCTGCGGCGTTTCCATCCTCCGCTCCGGCGCCTCGCTCGAGAAGGGCTTGCGACGAGTCGTGCGGGACGTACCGGTCGGCAGCGTGCTCATCCAGAGCGACGTCAAGACCGGCGAGCCGCTGCTGTACCAAGTCTCGCTCCCGCAGTGCTTGACGGCATCGCTCGAGTCCGCCGCGTCGAGCTACGTCCTCCTGCTCGACTCGCAGATTGGCACGGGTGCTGCGGCCTTGATGGCTGTACGCATTTTGCTCGACCACGGCGTCAAGGAGGAGAACATCATCTTCTGCTGCATCCTCGTCTCGAAGGTCGGCGGCGTCTGGGCGCTCAAGCGGGCGTTCCGTGTGTCGTTGTCATCCCGCACTTGAGCGCTCGACTGACTCTCCCACTCTCGCAGCCAAGGTCCGCATCGCTTGCAGTGCGGCAGACGATGGCCTCGAGGAGCGAGTGGAGAAGACGCACGGCGGCGAGAAAAAGGTGCGTCTCGAGGCTTTCACCCGCTTCGCGCTCTTCTGCTGACAGCCTCCTCTCACACAGATCTTCACCATCCTCCCCGGCCTCGGTTCCTTTGGCGACAGGTTCTTCCGCTCCGAGCACTCCGACTATGCCTAGATATGCCGTCCCTTCTGTTCACTCCTCCCGCATCCTCGCATCTCCATTCGCTCGTTCTGTATGGGTCCCCTCTCTCGCATCATCGCATCTGGCAACATACTCGATACAACAAAAGGTCCACCTCGTCCTGCAGAGTTCTGTTACTCTTCCATTGCTCCGCCGTTCGCTTCGCCTGTATCTTGTGCGCCCGGTGCCGACCCTTGGGCGTGTGTTCCGTGCTCTGCGATCCATTCTTCCTGTGCCCAGACTGGCAGGCGGGACGAAAGGAGCGAGACGGCGAAGGGAGGATGGCGAGGGAAGCGAGTCGAGAGGATGCTGGTCAGCGCACAGACTCGGCCGTGTGAATCAAGAAATTGAGCACGCACTCGGCTTGTTGCTCCCCTGCAAGCTAATCCCCTTCTGCGGCTTGGCCTTGTTAACCTTCAACACCCTCCCACGATTCGTCACCGTCTGCAGCGAATTCCGATCCATATTGTCGCACGCATCAATCGCGCTCTCCGCATTCGCAAACGTGATGAACGCGAACCCTCGGTGGACGGACTTGTTGTTTGGGTCGGTGGGGAGCGAGAGGTCGAGGATCTCGCCGAAGGGGAGGAAGGCGGAGTGGAGGGTTGAGGCGCTCGTGTCGGTTGAGAAACCACCGACGTAGATCGTGCTCTGTTTGGCGAGTCGGCGCATGTGAGGGACGAGGCGGTACGCAGCGGAGAAGCGCGTTTGAGTGATGAGGAGGTGGAGGAGTGAGGAGGGTCAGCGGGCGTTCGTTGAGCTGCTTGGGTTGAGCAGACGTACATTTGCGTCCTTTCCAGACATGACCGGCCGAGTTCAGAGGAATGAGAGCGCGGGCAAGAGAGGATTCGAGGTGGGAGCCATGAGAGCGGGGTTGGCGAGATGACAACTCGTCAAAGTGGGCTGACGGAGGAGGCCAGCGTGTCCCTTGTACTTCCAAAATCCATACGCAAGCGAGACAAGGCAGAAGATGGAGAGGTCGCCAAGCAGAAACGAAGAACCGCTTCCGCAAGAGCATCTCTCCGCCCGCTCGTGGACGAAGGCGGTCTCGAAGGTCACAACGTGGATAGTATACCAATACAAAGCGATAGATAGTCGAGGAGAACCGAAAGGACTTGCTGGGAGACACAACGAAGACCCGCTCGCCACATCAACCCTGGTACTGCGAGTTGTCGACTTCTCCATCGCCCGCGAGGGTGATGTCGTACTTCAGCTCGTACCTGTAGAGGCGAGACGCTCGCAGTCAGCTCGAGATCGGAGAGTAGGAGAAAAGGGGATCCGAACGTACTTGATCTCCTCGTCAAACTCGCCACCCTTGGGTAGCGGCGCCGTCGGTTTGACAAAGTCGACGATGAGCGAGTCCTTGACGGCAAAGACCGCATCGTCGTCGAGGTACTGCGAGTCGCGGGAGAACACCTGCGTGACAAGCGTCTTGTGTCCTGGCGCCTGGACGTGGAAGTGGATGTGCGCGGGTCGGTACGGGTGGCGATCCATCATGTGAAGGAGCTTGCCGGCTGAGAAATCGAAGGGGATTGGGTAGGGGGTGGGCTTGAGTGCGATGAGGGAGTAGTTGCCGTTCGAGTCGGTCTCGAACTGTCCGCGACAGTGGTGTTCGGGCTTGTCGGGGGATTGCGAGTCGTAGAAGCCGTCGGGTGCCTACGAGTGACGAGCAGCGTGAGCGATGGCTCGGGCTACCGGTCTCGCAGACTCTGGACTCGGAGGTTGCGAAGGTTCATCAGACTCACGTCGTGCCAGACGTCGACGAAAGCGCCCTTGAGGGGCTTACCGTCCTTGCCGGTCACAGTACCTACGCAAGGGAGGTGTCAGCCGGTGGAATACCGCTGTAGAAGGCAAGGGGGGCTGACCATGCAGGTGAACGAACGGAGCGCCAGGCTCCTTCATGCGGATGATGGACGAGCCATTCGGTTGCGGCGGGACGCCTTGGCGGTAGAAGGGACCGAGGATGGCGCTCGAAGTCGAGTCGCGGCCTGCCTGGGCGTAGCGAGCGTGCTCCATCCTGCCAGGGAACGGGCTTTAGCAAAGGTCGCCGGGATATTCAGCGTAAGGTAGACGCACATGTCGACAAGGCTCTCCACGCCGAGCACATCCGAGACGAGTACCTGTAGAGCCGTTCCAAGCGAGGTCAGCGGAGGGAGAGGGACCGCAACAGGTCTGGCGATGCACCATCTCGTTCCGCTTTTCGCTCGACACCTTTCCTGCCTCGATCAAGAGGTCGCAAGCCTCGAGCCACTCGTCGACGGTGACCTCGGCTTCGACAATCTGCGGAGGGAATGAAGAGCCGGTCAGGTCTGCGCACTCTGTCCGGCTCGCCAGGACACTCGGGAACGCACCGCTGCATGGAGGTGCTTGATCAAGATGGGGAAGGCCTGCTTGACCTGCGGAGAACGAGGCGTGTGAGCGAGGGTGAGGCGGCCGCGGAAGCGAGTGGGGCAAGACGAACTCGAGGAGACGCCTTTGACCCGATGGCCTCGATGACGGACTGGGTGTAAGCTGTGTAGTCTGGTGCGGCAGAAGGCATTGTCACGGTGTACGGTGGTGGAGAAACCGAAAAGCGGAGGAGAAGGGCGGAGGGCGGAGGGGAGGATGCGGCGGAGTTGACTTTGCGCCTCGACGGCTCCGACTCGATTGGCGCGCTCCACGTTTTCTCCAAGCCGGGGAGGCTTCGGCACGGGAGATGGAAAGGGGGCACGTCAACTGAGGCCGAGCGAGAGAACAGAGTCGAGGAGGTTCTGACGCAGCGTTGGGACGAGGGACGAGCGTGGGAACGAGGGCATGAGTCCAATACACTTGATCTTCGAAGAGAAGATGTCCACGAAGGACAGGAGGCCAGCAGAACTGCAGAAGGGTTCGTGGGTGGAAGCGAGGGGGGTCCCCGAGCGAGCGCGCGTGCAGTGACTAGTGACTGCGCTTTCTTCCTTCCGCACTCGTCTTGCCCGTCTCCGCCGCTATGGACCCCGCAACGACCGACGCAAAGCCAGAGAAGCTGCAGAAACGGTGCGTCCATCTCGCTCACCCTCCCTCGCTGTCCACCGACGTCGCTCACCATCTCCGTCGACAGTCCGCGCGTGTCGACGGCGTGCGACGCTTGCAGGAAGCGACGCGCAAAGTGCGACGGCGTCAAGCCGACCTGCGGGCGATGCAACTCGCTCGCACTCAAGTGTCTGTACGTGTACGAGAACGACAAACGCAAACCGGCGAGTGCATCTCCTCATGAACAACCTCGAGTACAGGCTGACCTGCTTGACATCGCAGATCACGAAGGATGTTGTCAACGCCTTGCAGATGCGGATCGACTCGCTGGAGAAGGAGCTTTCGGAGCTGAAGATGGACAAGGGCGACGGCGAGTTCTCTGTCGACTGCTGCTCCAGCGCGAATAATGACACTGTCCCGCTGTGACGACTCGCAGGCTCGAAGGAGGGAACGGCGACGCCGCCTGTGGTCGCAGACGCCTTTGCCGGCGGCCTCGCGTTCAACTCGCACGGCGAGTTGCGCTTCTACGGTCCCACCTCCTCCTACCGCGCCATTCTCGCCGACGTCACCGAGTCTTCCGTCGAAGCAGCGCGAGCCTGGTCGCTCACGCGCGCGCCCATCCCCTACGCACCTCCCCTCGACCCTCAGCTCCCGAGACGTCCGCCTGTCCTCTCCTCCGAGTTCTCCGCCAAGCTCATCGGACTTGCGTTCGAGCATGCGTTCTCGCAATTCGGACTAGTCGACGAGCGAGCGTTCCTGCAAGACTTGACGACATCGGCGTGCGTCTTCCGTCTGTCCCATCGTCTTCCTGTGCTCACGTTTCTGCTTGACGCAGAACAAGGCGAACTCCGCACTACTCTCCCTTACTCCTCCACCTCGTCCTAGCCTTCGGCGCTCGTTACCTCGACCCTGCCGACACCTCTTGGTGTCGCGAGATCTGCAGCGACCCCTCAGACCCCTCAACGCGCGGCGACGTCTTCATCGACTGGGCTCGGTTAGCTCTGGATGGAGAGTTCAAGCATCCGGATGTCAGCACCGTGACGAGTTTGACCTGCTTGTCGGTGTATCTGGGAGGGATGGCGTGTGATGGACCGGCGTTGATGTTCCATGCTCAGTCAATGGCCTTGGCTGAAGACTGTGAGTGCGGCCCCCGAGGGAACCCACTCAATCGAGCGTACTGACCATCTGACTGCAGTCGGGCTCCATCTCGACAACCACCACCTGCAAATCGGCTCGCGCAACATCCCACCCGAACTCCGGGACGTCCGGCGGAAAGCCTTCTGGGCCGCATTCCAAGTCGACGTCCTGAACAGCATTTACATCGGTCGACGGCCGCACTGGTTCCAGGACGACGTGGATGTGCCGAACCCGCCGGTTGACAACAATGTCGAGTTTGATCCGCCGGCTTGTACGTCCCTGCGCTTTCTTTCCTTCTATGGATCACTCGCGCGTCAGGTCGCGCGTCTGCTCCTACCGGAGGGTCCGCATGAGCTGTAGACGCTGACTAGCTCCCATCCGCAGACCGCTCCTCGTCCTCGCACGCCGCTAGCAAGCTCATGCAAATAACCGCCCGCCTCCTCGCGACCGTCTACTCCCTCAAGCCCGGCGTCCCCCTCACAGCGCGCCAGAGCGCGCTGCCAGAACTCCACCTCGCGCTCGAGCAATGGTACGTCGACCTGCCTTCGCCGTTGAGGGCGAGCACGCCGACGCCTGCGAAGGCGCCGCATTCGCATATCATAGGTGAGTCCTGCGTTTTGCAGTTGGACAGCGCAGGAGGAGCTGACTTGAAACGGCGCAGGCTTGAATGCCCTGTACCACGCTATCGTTATCCTCCTTCACCGACCGTGCGTTTCTTCCTTCTCGCTCTTCTCCCTCCGTCTCGACTGACAAAGCTTTGCGTATGAAGCTTCTTCCGCCGCACGAACGAGGAGACAATGCTGTCGGTTTCGACGGAGAAATGCCTTTCAAGCTCGAAGCACATCGTACGTGCCACTCCGGTTTGGCCTGCGAGGGTTCGGGCTGATGATTTGCTGCTCGCAGGTCCGCCTCGTTCGACTGCAGCGTGAGCGCTATGGCCTCCGCTTCACTGCGCCGCTCTTCCAGCAGTGCGTCTTTCCCTCCGCTTTCAGTGTCTCCAGGTCCGCTCACCCGCACACTCTCCACAGCTGCTGCTTCACCGCCGGCACGATCCTCGCCCTCTCCGCCAACGAAGACCACATCCTCGGCGTTCCCCAGCGCGACCTCGAGCGCAAGACGCAAGCCGCCGCCGACCTGAAGACCATCATCGCCGCCTTGCGCTCGATCTCCGACACCTGGAAGACGGCAACGACGAGCGCGAACGTGCTCGAGGCGTTCATGAGCCAATGGAGCAAGTCGGGCACCAGGTCGGCCGGCGCGGGAGTCGCGACGCCTAGCTGGCCTGTCCGAGCGGGCGCGCCGCTGCAAGCTCCGCCCGATGCGCTCGCGGCGGCGTTGGCGGCGCACAACGCGCAGGTGCAGGGTGCAGGCGCAGGCGCAGAAGGACAGTTTGGCTTCGCTGGACCGGACGAGCAGGCGGCGTGGCAGGACTTTACCGCCGACTTGACTGCGACGTCGTTCCCGCACATCTTTCCTTCTTGGTGAGTGCGTTCGCGTGGTCGGAGAGGCGGGTGAGAGACGCTGACGCTCAAACGACCCAGGGACCTCGACACGGGTGGCTCGCTGGACGACTTCATGGACCTGTGCGTCGGAGCTCCCCCCCTCTGTGCTGTCTCTCTCGCTTACTCACGCTCGCGGCGCAGTCTCGGACCGTCGGGAACGAACAACTCGCTCGACTTCAACCCGCTCGGGTACGCTGCGCAGGCCGCGGTGGCCGGCGCGGACTAGCAAATCAATATCACCGTGTTGTACTGTCTAGCACATCGGAGGAGAATTTATCGCACGCTCTCACTCTCTCCGAAGGTCGCGAGCTTTGAGAGGAAGGGCACTGCATTTCTGATTCCCTCTCCACGCTACTCGATCCCTCTCTTCTCCGAGTCTGAGCCAGCGAACGTCACGTCAGTCCCGTCATGTCAGTTAAGCGCTCAGTAAAGAGAGCTACGAACCAGCGAGAGACACAAGCGGAAAGCAGCCATCAAGCGTCAAGTCGAGCGGGCGCAGAGATTACTTCTGGTTGCCGCTGCTCTGGTAGCTCTGGCCGCTCGGCGAGGTGTAGTTCGAGTACCCGTCGCCACTGTTGTAGTCTGCGATTGATGTCCGAAGTCAGTGAAGAACGGGAACGGAGGCGCATGAAGCTGTCAGCGGAAAGCGAGGGAGGACGCACAGGTCGACCCGTCCGAGTTCGAGTAGTAGTACGAGCCGTCCGAGTTGCTGTCTGTGCGAGGCAACAGCGCAGAAACTGCGGTCAGTCTGGCGAGAACGAGAGCGGATTGAGCGGGACCACAACTCGCAGTGGTACGAGTTCGAGTTCGAGGCGTCCGAGCTGTAGTAGCGCGAGCAGTAGTGGTTGCCCTGGTCGTTAGTGCCGGACGACGAGATGTCGTACGACTGACCGTAGTTGTCCTCTGCGAGGTGAGTCGGTTCGAGCGGGAGGAGGAGCGGGACGGTCAGCGGGACAGTGGGAGGCGTCGTGGCGCTCGGTGGGAGGCGAGAGAGACGCACTGGGCATGTTGCGAGTGTTCTTGAGTGACAGAGCGAGGAGGGAGGATGTGAGGGAGGAGGAGGAGGTCGAGGAGCGGGACGAGGAGATGAAGCGATGAAGCCAATTCGCCGCACGTGACGCTGAGACCCTCCCATCCTCGCCTCCTTTCCGGCTCTCACTCTTGTCCCTTCCTGTCCAACGCAAGCTGCAACCGACGCCTCTACTCGCACTGGTAGAGACGGGAGTACTCGCCAACCCGTAGCCCTCCTCCTGAGGCCGTCCACCTCGCAACGCTTGCAAGGGCTCATGTAGCACGTTGAGGACGGCTATGCACATTGGAAGAGCTGTAGGAGAGAATACTGTATGGCACGGCCATCAAAGCTCCGCAGGCTTCGCCGTTTCAAATGCTAGGCGTCCACCCAGTTCTGCGCGGCGAGCCGTCCGGTCCTGGCAGAGTGGTTCGCGTGAAGGGGGCCTTGCCATCGGGCGTGTATGTCTCCGTTCCCTTGCCATCGTTGGTGTCTGTGAGGCGGAAGCGTCAGCCCTCGCTGGCCGGGAGGCAGGAAGACGAGCAGGCCATAGAGACATTTGGACTTGTCGTAGTTGGAATACTCGAACGAGCCGTCAGAACGGCTTTCTGCGAGGAAGATGGAGTACCTAGTCAGCAGGTGAATGGCGCAACGGTCCAAAGAGGACTCACTGTGCGAGGCATCCTGGTTCGGAGCGTCGGGTCCAAAGTCGCGCTTGCAAACGTGCTCTTTCTCGTCGTTCTTCGCGTCGGTCGTCTTGTAAGGATGGTTGCGGTTGTCGACTGCGAGGAGAGGATCGTGAGCGGAGTCACAGACGGCGAAGAGCGACAAGCAGGAAGACACCGTCTGCGCGCGATGCTGTCAGCGAAAGGCGTCGTGAGAGCACGCACCTGGCATGTTTGCGATGGACACGGGCAGCGAGAGGTCAAGGAGAGTGAGCAACGAGAGAGAAAGAAGAAGCAGGTCGGGACGCGGGAGTGGGCAAGCCTTCCCGAACGATCGCTCCGCCCCTCGCGTTGATGAACGAGCGATGCAGACGCGCACAGCCTACTCCTGCGACTGCGACTCCGACACCTTAACCTCCGCGCCGTTCTCCTCCTTCGCAGGAGGCTCAGCCTCGTCCTCATCACCCTTCGCACTTCCTCCTCCGCGACTCGGGACGCCCCAGTCTTCTGGCGGGTTCGCAATCTCGCCCTTGAACGCGTCGAACTTGAGCTTGTGCTCGCCCTCGAGGATCGAGTCGGGCTTGTGAAGCTGCGGGAGGAAGCGGGTCAGCTGGGAGGAAAGGTGAGAGCGAAGGAGCAGACGCACAGAGATAGCCATGCCGTCCCAGAACGCCTCTTCCGTTGGTTGAGGGTACATGCGAGGGTCCTCGCCGCGCTGGAGCGCCACAATGCAAGCCATCAGCTCAGCTCGAAGACGATGAATGGCCGAGCGAACGCACCTTTGGCCTCCTCTTACGCAGCTGCATCGCAGCCTGCAGCGGCACGTAGTACGCTCCCTTCTTCCTCCCTGCCACTGTCTGCGGCCGCACGCGCTCCTCGCCTTCCGTCGCATCTTCGCCCGCGTCGAACGAGAAGATGTATTCTTGCGCGAGTGGTCGGCTGACGAGGAGCTCGTAGTCGCGCACCCAACGGAAGTCGAAGGGCTGCCGCGCAGGATGAGGCCGAAGTGAGCACGCAGTTGAAACAAAGGCGAGGGGAGGAAACGCACCTCTCCCTCCGCGCTCTCCTCGCCCGTATACCGCTTCTCCGTGTATCCCAACGCTGCCTGGTCGTTCGCCGGTAGGTAGAACGACACTCGTCCCTCGCCTTCGGGGAACTCGCTGGTGAGGTCGCGGAAGATGGCTCGAGGCAGTCGAGGATCCGGTCCGAGGCGTGCTGGTTCGCCCTGCGAAGTTCGTCTTGCGTCAGCGAGCGGTCGAAGTTGGAGCGCACAGTCATGAAACGCACGGGAGCTCTTGTCGACGGGTCCTCGCCAAACCTAACCAGATCGTACTCGTTCGCCCACAAGTCGTCGTCCGGAAGCAACTCGAATGCCTCGACGGCCCGCAAATCCCGCTTCGTCGGGTGTTGCAGCTCGTCGAGGGGCTTGTGTGCTTCGGCAAAGGTGGCGGAGATGGCCGCGGCGCGGCTGTCGCGGTCAAGGGCGTTGAGGCCGGTGTCGCGCTTCGGGGTTCTGGTGAGGCGGATGGAACCTTTTAGCCCTTCGAGCCGCTCCTAGAGAGGACTTTGACGCACCCGTTCATCGCCTGCAGAGCCTGCCGCTGACTGCTCGCCTCGCTACTGAGGTACTCCGTCTTGCGCAACCAGCTGACATCCACCTTCTTGCTGACCTCGGTGACGGATGCGCGGCCGGGTGTCCCAGGAATTGAGCCGGTCGCAGAGGACGGGCCAGCTGCACCTTGGGGCGTTGCGTCTTCGAACATGAAGGCATCCTCGTCCGCGATGGGAGCGTTCGGATTGGGGACTGGCGCGATGCCTGGGGGAAACAGCGAAAGCGTCAGCACGATCTCTCGTACGAACGACCGTCCTCTACGGCACCGCCGGAGAGCCTTGGGAGCAAGCGAGCGACCTCACCTGTCCGGTTCCCCATCCAGTACTCCCCGTCGCCTCGCCCGCCCTCGTGCGGCTTGCCATACTCGAGCGGCAGTCCGAGTTCACTGTCGAGGATGAGGGGGAGCTCGCGCTCGCCCTGGATGGGCGAGAGGAAGTCGTAGGTCGCGTAGCGTTGCGGTCCAGTGGGGATGTTGATGAGCTTTGGCGGGAAGGGCGGCGCGGGCAGCGGGTTCTGGTAGCGCACGCGGACGAGCAGGTCCGTCTTTGAGCTCTTCTGCATGGTCGAGACGGCGAGCTGGTGGTGATGAAGAGGCGTGAGGATGGCCAAGTCCGCGACCTCGACACAGCAACGCATCGAGGTGCTTGGAGACGAGTACTGGGCTACTCAGTACCACCTAGCAGAAATTACCAGGCTTACTCGCGATTTACTGCGAGCGATGCGGGTCTCTTGCTCCGCTCGACGACATCTTTCCCGCTCGCCTGTCGCTCACCTCGTGCTTCCTTTGGGCTGTTCCCGGGTCAGGACCACGCGAAAGTCATCTCTTTAGCATCACGCTGACTCTGCGGCCGCCCCGAGCTTGCTCGCCCTCGCTCGCCGACCGACCCTCCCCCACCCTCTGACATCCGTCTTCGCGCACTCGCACTCGCGTTTGCACGGCATGGCAGCGACAACACAGCACGATAGCCGGGTGGTGAGCGTCTCGAGCGGGAAGAAGCTGTACATCGAGGTGGACGACAGCGCGGGCAAGGACGCGCCAGCAATCGTCTGTGAGTCGCTTCTGTCCTCGCAGCACGCTTCTTTCCGCTCCCTGACTAGCGACAAGCGCGGCTGACGCTTCGACTCTCGCCGCCAGTCATGCACGGCCTCGGGTCGTCGACCTCTTTCTGGGAAGCGCCCTTCTCCCGCTCCAACCTGTCCTCTCGCTTCCGCCTGATCCGCTACGACTTTGACGGCCACGGTCTCTCGCCCGTCTCGTCCCTCGACGCAGCAGACGACGGCGCCATGATTCCGCTCGACGACCTTGTCGAGGACTTGACGGCTGTGATTGAGTGGGCTGGAGTGGAGAAGGTTGCGGGAGTCGTTGGGCACTCGATGAGCGGTTTGGTCGCGAGCAGTTTTGCGGCCAAGTACCCGCAGAAGCTCGACAAGCTGGGTGGGCCGCACTCCCCCTCCTCCCGCTTGAACTCCGCTGACATTCCGTTGACCCTGACGCCGCTCGCGCAGTCCTCCTCGGCGCGATGCGCTCTCTCAACCCGACCATCCAGACCAACATGCTCAAGCGTGCCGACACCGTGCTCGAATCCGGGCTCTCGGCAATCGTCGCACAAGTCGTCTCCGCCGCGCTGTCCGACAAGTCGAAGCAGGACTCGCCTCTCTCGGCAGCGATGGTGCGGACGCTCGTGCTTGGAACGGACGCGCGAGGGTATGCGGCGGCGTGTAGGGCGCTTGCGGGCGCGACTGATCCGGATTACTCGACCATCAAGGCTGAGACGTTGGGTGCGCTCGCTCGTTCTTCCTTCTCCATTCCTCCGCCCGCGACTTACGGCAAACACCCGCACCTCAGTCATCGCGGGCGAATTCGACTACCTCTCGAACAAGGAGACGACCGATGCGCTTGTCAACGACATCCCTGGCGCGCGAAAGGTCCAGATGGACGGTGTCGGCCACTGGCACGCCGTCGAGGACCCCGTTGGACTCGCCAAGATCCTCGATGGGTTCTTCTTGCAGGGAAAGTGAGGTTGGGTTGCGGCGACGGACTGGGGAGAATAGCAGGTGCGTACGCAGCGGGAAGTTCGGTCGGGAGGACTTATTCGGCGAGGAAATTCCCTGGCTGACTCCGACATCGCTTTTCTCCTCGCAGTGTCGTCAGAAGGGATTGGAGGAGCCGACCTGCAAGGGTAATGAACGAGACAACGCCGAGGGAGGATGCGCCGGAACTCTCGGGGGCGAAGAAGGAGCGGCTGTCGTCGCCTGCGAACAGCTTCCGGCGTGGATGTTGCAGCCCGAGTAGCATTCCAGCGTCGCAACGGAGCTCTAGTCGACCGCGATCACCCACAAGGACGAGAGCGGGTCGGGCCTTGTCTCCTTCCCCATCCTCGACCTCCTCCTGCTCTCTTCCCTACCACACTCTCCCGCTTGCGGGCTTTCTTTCTCGCTTGGCGCTCTTGCTACCGCTACTCTAGACTCTCCTAGTCTCCCTGCACAACAACCCTGCTCCCTCCCGCCTCTCTCGCACACCCCCCACAGCTTCGTTCCCCAACTTCACTTCCGATGCCGTGCGTCGCCTCCCTTTCGCCTAGCGGGCCTGCGCCTGCTTCTGAGAACGACTGCTGACTGTGGAATGATTTGCCGACAGATTCTCTGGCGAGGCGAAGGCGGTCAACGGATCGCACTCGGTCGACGAGGCGCCGAAGAACCCCAAGTACGACCATGGGCGGGTCGTAAAGTACCTCGGTGCGTCTTGCGGACTTTCACGACTGCTCTGGCGTCTTTCTGGACCGGCGTACGAGCAGTTGGGCTGACCCTCGCATTTCCTCTCCTCCTCGACCTCGCTTCTCGTCCACAGGCGGCAACTCGCTCGAATCTGCGCCCCCTTCCAAGGTCGCCGACTGGGTCAGGGAGCGTGGTGGACACACCGTCATCACAAAGGTGCGCTCACTCGGACCCCTCTTGCACCGCCCCTCTTGATCGTCCCCAACTCGCTCGTCCTGACCCAACTCGCGCTCCGCACAGATCCTCATCGCCAACAATGGTATCGCCGCAGTCAAGGAGATCCGCTCGGTGCGCAAGTGGGCGTACGAGACGTTCGGAAGCGAGCGCGCGATCGAGTTTACCGTCATGGCGACCCCGGAGGACCTCAAGGTCAACGCAGACTACATCCGCATGGCCGATCAGTACGTCGAGGTTCCCGGTGGAACCAACAACAACAACTACGCCAACGTCGATGTCATCGTCGATGTTGCCGAGCGCGCAGGCGTCCACGCCGTCTGGGCAGGATGGTTCGTCCTCTTTCTCCCGCCGTACTCTTCCGTAAAAATGCCCGTGTTGACTCGCATTTGATGCACACAGGGGCCACGCCTCCGAGAACCCCCGCCTTCCCGAGTCGCTCGCCGCCTCGAAGCACAAGATCGTCTTCATCGGTCCTCCCGGCTCCGCCATGCGCTCGCTCGGAGACAAGATCTCGTCGACCATCGTCGCGCAGCACGCCCAGGTTCCGTGCATGGACTGGTCCGGCCAGGGCGTCGACCAAGTCACCCAGTCGCCCGAGGGCTACGTTACTGTCGCCGACGACGTCTACCAGCAGGCCTGTGTGCACGACGCCGACGAGGGTCTCGCCCGCGCGTCGAGGATCGGATACCCCGTCATGATCAAGGCGTCCGAGGGAGGAGGAGGAAAGGGTATTCGCAAGGTCGAGAAGGAGCAGGACTTTAAGCAGGCCTTCCAGGCTGTCCTCACCGAGGTTCCCGGTGCGTTGGTCCGCTTTCAGCCTCGAGCATCCTCAAGCTGACTCGCCGCTCTCACAGGCTCGCCCGTCTTTATCATGAAGCTCGCCGGCGCAGCTCGCCACCTCGAGGTCCAGGTTCTCGCCGACCAGTACGGCAACGCCATCTCGCTCTTCGGCCGTGACTGCTCGGTTCAGCGTCGCCACCAGAAGATCATCGAAGAGGCGCCCGTCACCATCGCCAAGCCCGACACGTTCGAGCAGATGGAAAAGTCGGCCGTCCGCCTTGCCAAGCTCGTCGGCTACGTCTCGGCGGGTACCGTCGAGTTCCTCTACTCGGCTGCCGACGACAAGTTTGCCTTCCTCGAGCTCAACCCGCGTCTCCAGGTCGAGCACCCGACCACCGAGATGGTTTCGGGCGTCAACCTTCCCGCCGCCCAGCTCCAGGTCGCTATGGGTGTTCCCCTCCATCGCATCCGCGACATCCGCACGCTCTACGGCAAGGCACCCAACGGCAGCAGCGAGATCGATTTCGACTTCGAGAACCCCGAGTCGGCCAAGACGCAGCGCAAGCCCTCGCCGAAGGGTCACGTCGTTGCCGTACGTATCACGGCTGAGAACCCTGACGCCGGCTTCAAGCCGTCCATGGGTACTCTCCAAGAGCTCAACTTCCGCTCGAGCACGAACGTCTGGGGTTACTTCTCCGTCGGCAGCGCCGGTGGACTGCACGAGTTTGCCGACTCGCAGTTCGGCCACATCTTTGCGTACGGCTCGGACCGTTCCGAGTCGCGCAAGAACATGGTCGTCGCGCTCAAGGAGCTCTCGATTCGCGGTGACTTCCGCACGACCGTCGAGTACCTCATCAAGCTTCTCGAGACGGACGCGTTCGAGCAGAACACGATCACGACCGCGTGGCTCGACAGCCTCATCTCGGCTCGCCTGACCGCCGAGAGGCCCGACACGACTCTCGCCATCATCTGCGGCGCCGTTACCAAGGCCCACCTCGCTTCCGAGGCCAACATCGCCGAGTACAAGCGCATCCTCGAGAAGGGTCAGAGCCCCGCCAAGGAGCTCCTCGCCACCGTCGTCCCGCTCGAGTTCGTCCTCGAGGACGTCAAGTACCGCGCGACCGCCTCGCGCTCGTCGCCTTCGAGCTGGTCCATCTACGTCAACGGCTCGAACGTCTCCGTCGGCATCCGCCCTCTCGCCGACGGCGGTCTCCTCATCCTCCTTGACGGCCGCTCGTACACCTGCTACGCCAAGGAGGAGGTCGGCGCGCTCCGCCTCTCGATCGACTCGAGGACCGTCCTCATTGCTCAGGAGAACGACCCCACCCAGCTTCGCTCGCCTTCACCCGGCAAGCTCGTCCGCTACTTCATCGAGTCCGGCGAGCACATCTCGAAGGGCGAGGCGTACGCTGAGATCGAGGTCATGAAGGTGCGTCGCTTGCTCGCAGCAATCCCTGTTCCTTTTCACTTCGCTAACACTCGTCGCCTCGCAGATGATCATGCCCCTCATCGCTGCCGAGGACGGTATCGCGCAATTCATCAAGCAGCCGGGAGCGACGCTCGAGGCCGGCGACATCCTCGGTATCTTGTCGCTCGACGACCCGAGCCGCGTCCACCACGCCAAGCCGTTCGATGGCCAGCTTCCCGCCCTTGGCTTGCCCTCCATCGTCGGCAACAAGCCGCACCAGCGCTTCGCCTACCTCAAAGACGTGCTCTCAAACATCCTCATGGGCTACGACAACCAGGCCGTCATGCAGTCGAGCATCAAGGAGCTCATCTCGGTTCTTCGCAACCCCGAGCTCCCCTACGGCGAGGCCAACGCTGTCCTCTCGACGCTTTCGGGTCGCATCCCCGCCAAGCTCGAGCAGACCCTCCGCCAGTACATCGACCAGGCTCACGAGTCTGGCGCCGAGTTCCCGTCCGCCAAGTGCCGCAAGGCGATCGACACGACCCTTGAGCAGCTCCGCCCCGCCGAGGCGCAGACTGTCCGCAACTTCCTCGTCGCGTTCGACGACATCGTCTACCGCTACCGCTCGGGCCTCAAGCACCACGAGTGGTCAACGCTCGCCGGCATCTTTGCCGCGTACGCCGAGACGGAGAAGCCGTTCAGCGGCAAGGACGGCGACGTCGTCCTCGAGCTCCGCGACGCCCACCGCGACTCGCTCGACTCGGTCGTCAAGATCGTTCTCTCGCACTACAAGGCTGCCTCGAAGAACTCGCTTGTCCTTGCGCTCCTCGACATCGTCAAGGACTCGGACGCGGTTCCGCTCATCGAGCAGGTCGTCAGCCCTGCGCTCAAGGACCTCGCCGACCTCGACTCGAAGGCCACGACTAAGGTCGCCCTGAAGGCCCGCGAGGTGCTCATCCACATCCAGCTCCCCTCGCTCGACGAGCGCCTCGGACAGCTCGAGCAGATTCTCAAGGCCTCGGTGACGCCCACCGTTTACGGCGAGCCCGGCCACGACCGCACTCCTCGCGGTGAAGTCCTTAAGGACGTCATCGACTCGCGCTTCACCGTCTTTGACGTTCTCCCGAGCTTCTTCCAGCACCAGGACCACTGGGTCTCGCTCGCCGCGCTCGACACCTACGTCCGCCGCGCCTACCGCTCGTACAACCTCCTCAACATCGAGCACATCGAGGCCGATGCCGCCGAGGACGAGCCCGCGACGGTTGCCTGGTCGTTCCGCATGCGCAAGGCTGCGTCCGAGTCTGAGCCGCCCACGCCCACGACCGGCCTCACGTCGCAGCGCACCGCCTCGTACTCGGACTTGACGTTCCTCCTCAACAACGCCCAGTCCGAGCCGATCCGCTACGGCGCGATGTTCTCGGTCCGCTCGCTCGACCGCTTCCGCCAGGAGCTCGGTACCGTCCTCCGACACTTCCCCGACTCGAACAAGGGCAAGCTCCAGCAGCAGCCTGCCGCGTCGTCGAGCCAGGAGCAGTGGAACGTCATCAACGTCGCGCTCACGGTCCCCGCCAGCGCGCAGGTCGACGAGGACGCTCTCCGCGCCGACTTTGCCGCTCACGTGAACGCGATGAGCGCCGAGATCGACGCTCGCGGCATGCGCCGCCTCACCCTCCTCATCTGCCGCGAGGGCCAGTACCCGTCCTACTACACCGTCCGCAAGCAGGACGGCACCTGGAAGGAGCTCGAGACGATCCGCGACATCGAGCCCGCCCTCGCCTTCCAGCTCGAGTTGGGCCGCCTCTCCAACTTCCACCTCGAGCCGTGCCCCGTTGAGAACCGCCAGGTCCACGTCTACTACGCGACCGCCAAGGGCAACTCGTCCGACTGCCGCTTCTTCGTCCGCGCACTCGTCCGCCCTGGCCGTCTCCGCGGTAACATGAAGACGGCCGACTACCTCGTCTCCGAGGCTGACCGCCTCGTCACCGATGTCCTCGACTCGCTCGAGGTCGCCAGCTCGCAGCGCCGCGCTGCCGACGGCAACCACATCTCGGTGCGCACTCGCGGCCTTGACCTTCCTTGTCCTCGTGCTGACTCGCTCTCCGTCCGCAGCTCAACTTCCTGTACTCTCTCCGTCTCGACTTTGACGAGGTCCAGGCTGCCCTCGCCGGCTTCATCGACCGCCACGGCAAGCGCTTCTGGCGTCTCCGCGTCACCGGCGCCGAGATCCGCATCGTCCTCGAGGACGCGCAGGGCAACATTCAGCCCATCCGCGCCATCATCGAGAACGTCTCGGGTTTCGTCGTCAAGTACGAGGCGTACCGCGAGGTCACGACCGACAAGGGCCAGGTCATCCTCAAGTCGATCGGTCCGCAGGGCGCGTTGCACCTTCAGCCGGTCAACTTCCCCTACCCGACCAAGGAGTGGCTTCAGCCGAAGCGCTACAAGGCCCACGTCGTCGGCACGACGTACGTCTACGACTTCCCCGACCTTTTCCGCCAGGCAATCCGCAAGCAGTGGAAGGCGGCCGGCAAGACTGCGCCCGCCGAGCTCCTCGTCGCCAAGGAGCTCGTCCTCGACGAGTTCGGCAAGCCTCAGGAGGTCGCCCGCCCGCCTGGCACCAACAATATCGGCATGGTCGGCTGGATCTACACGATCTTCACGCCCGAATACCCCTCTGGCCGCCGCGTCGTCGTCATCGCGAACGACATCACGTTCAAGATTGGTTCGTTCGGCCCGGAGGAGGACCGCTACTTCTTCGCCGTCACGCAGCTCGCGCGCCAACTTGGCTTGCCGCGCGTCTACCTCTCGGCCAACTCGGGTGCTCGTCTCGGCATTGCCGAGGAGCTCGTCGACTTGTTCAGCGTCGCGTGGGTCGACAGCTCGCGGCCGGAGAAGGGCTTCAAGTACCTCTACCTAACCGCCGAGAAGCTCGGCGAGCTCAAGAACAAGGGCGAGAAGAGCGTCATCACGAAGCGCATCGAGGACGAGGGCGAGACGCGCTACCAGATCACCGACATCATCGGCTTGCAGGAGGGTCTCGGTGTCGAGTCGCTCAAGGGCTCTGGCCTCATCGCCGGTGAGACGTCGCGCGCGTACGACGACATCTTCACGATCACGCTCGTCACCGCCCGCTCGGTCGGTATCGGTGCGTACCTCGTCCGCCTCGGCCAGCGTGCCGTCCAGGTCGAGGGCCAGCCGATCATCCTCACCGGTGCCGGCGCGCTCAACAAGGTCCTCGGTCGCGAGGTGTACTCGTCCAACTTGCAGCTCGGCGGCACGCAGATCATGTACAAGAACGGTGTCTCGCACTTGACGGCCGCCAACGACCTCGAGGGTGTCCTCAGCATCGTCCAGTGGCTCGCCTTCGTCCCCGAGCACCGCGGCGCGCCTCTCCCGATCATGCCTTCGCCCGTCGACCCGTGGGACCGCTCGATCGACTACACGCCCATCAAGGGCGCGTACGACCCGCGCTGGTTCCTCGCCGGCAAGACGGACGAGGCCGACGGTCGCTGGCTCTCTGGCTTCTTCGACAAGGGCTCGTTCCAGGAGACGCTCTCGGGCTGGGCGCAGACCGTCGTCGTCGGTCGCGCTCGCCTCGGCGGCATCCCCATGGGCGCCATCGCGGTCGAGACCCGCACCATCGAGCGCGTCGTGCCCGCCGACCCTGCCAACCCTCTCTCGAACGAGCAGAAGATCATGGAGGCCGGTCAGGTGCGCAACAACCTCCACTTTGTCCGAACCTCCACTCGTGTCCGAACCTCCTCGTCGCCAACTTCTCCTCGACTTTGCTCGTCCTCCTCGGCAGCTGCTGACTTGCTTCCACCTTGTACGATGCGCAGGTCTGGTATCCCAACAGCTCGTTCAAGACGGGACAGGCGATCTTCGACTTCAACCGCGAGGGTCTCCCGCTCATCATCTTCGCCAACTGGCGCGGCTTCTCGGGCGGCCAGCAGGACATGTTCGACGAGGTCCTCAAGCGCGGTTCGCTCATTGTCGACGGTCTCTCGGCGTACAAGCAGCCCGTCTTCGTCTACATCGTCCCGAACGGCGAACTTCGCGGCGGTGCTTGGGTCGTCCTCGACCCGTCGATCAACGCCGAGGGCATGATGGAGATGTACGTCGACGAGACTGCTCGCGCCGGTGTCCTCGAGCCCGAGGGCATCGTCGAGATCAAGCTCCGCAAGGACAAGCTCCTCGCCCTCATGGACCGCCTCGACCCGACCTACCACGCCCTCCGCGTCAAGTCGACCGACGCTTCGCTCTCGCCCGCCGACGCCGCGCAGGCCAAGACCGAGCTCGCCGCGCGCGAGAAGCAGCTCATGCCGATCTACCAGCAGGTCGCGCTCCAGTTCGCCGACTCGCACGACAAGGCCGGCCGCATCCTCAGCAAGGGCTGCGCGCGCGAGGCCCTCGAGTGGTCGAACGCTCGTCGCTACTTCTACGCCCGCCTCCGCCGCCGTCTCGCCGAGGAGGCCGCCGTCAAGCGTCTCGGCGACGCCGACCCGACCCTCTCGCGCGACGAGCGCCTCGCCATCGTCCACGACGCCGTCGGCCAGGGTGTCGACCTCAACAACGACCTCGCTGCTGCCGCCGCGTTCGAGCAGGGCGCCGCCGCCATCACCGAGCGCGTCAAGCTCGCGCGCGCGACGACCGTCGCCTCGACTCTCGCGCAGCTCGCGCAGGACGACAAGGAGGCTTTCGCCGCCTCGCTCCAGCAGGTCCTCGGCGACAAGCTCACCGCCGCCGACCTCGCCCGCATCCTCGCCTAGACCCACGGCTTCTCCCTCCCTCGCTCTCTTAGACTCGTCGTCTCTCTCTCGGTCTTTCTTGTGTGGTTCTCGTTGCCTTTGTCTTCTCGCATGTCCATACCCCACCCTCTCCTTCCTCGCTCTCTCGCGCGCATAGAACGTGCTCCTTAGCTCTCTCGTTTCGGTGCAACATGCTTCTTTAGCACTTCTTCGGGGTCTTTGCGCGCTTGTTGGGTTACCAAACTTTATGCCGCAACTTCGCCTCGAAAAAAGACCGCGCTCTTTTCGCTGCAACCTTTCCCCCTTCTCGCACGCCTCCGTGTCGCCCCAAGCCTCCCCTCTCCTCTCGCTTCGCCTCTCTCACACATGCTGCCCACTAACGACGCCGCGAGCGAGGCCTCCTCGACCCGTCCACCGCGTCGCTCAACTCGAGGCGCTCGCCAATGCGCTCAAGGAGGCGAGGCGACGGGGTGTCGATTCGAGGACCGATGCGCGCGAGAAGCGGCGTCGGATTCGTCTTCGTCGGACTCGTCGTCCGCAGGATCGTCGTCGGCGACACCGGACTCTTCGTCGAGGAAGCCGTAGTCAGGCGGTTCGATGACCTGCCGCTTCCACTCGACGCCCTCGAGGTTGAAACCGTCGCGCTCGCGACCCTCGAGGCGGATCTGGTCGCGTCGGCTCGGCATCGTGTAGAGCGCGCGAACCTCAGGCGCAAGGAGTCCGGGAGGAGCTCAGACTTGGAGGTTGGGCGCGGTCGAGTCGGTGCGAGGGAGTAGGCGAGGCGCTTTGAGCGAGGGAGCGAGAAGGGAGACAGTCGGGCTGTCGTGACGGATCGAAAAGCGAGTCAGTCTACGAAGCGAATGTATGGGTTACGAAAACGCACCAGTTGAGCTCCTCGAAGATGCGTGAGTAGACAATGTAGTGCATCTGGACAGGAAGGACAAGCGCTGGAAGAGGGGCAAGGGAGAGGCGCCGAAACGCGAGACGGTCGACGTGAAAAGCCAAGTCGAAGGAGCCGGAGACGTGAGGCGTGAGGAAGCGGCCAGCTCGGCCGGCGACGCTGTAAGTCTTCGTATTGCTTGGTAGCTTGACCGCTCTACTCCCTGCCCATCGCCAACGCCCGCAAGACCTCCGTTCCTGTCTCTCTCCGCGCCAGCTTCCTCAGACCCTCCGGTCCTTCGCCGACTATCCGCAGTGCGACGTCGTGAGCTTCGGTGACGAGTTCGGCGGTGATCGGGATGCAATGGGTCGCAAGGAGCGAGATGAGGAGGGCGACGCGGGTGATGGAGGCGCGGATCGCAGGCGAGATGTCCTGCGCGCGATCGAGGTTCGTCAATACGCACACGAGCCATGGAGAGAGCGCACAGAAGCACACGCACCTCGTTCTCGCCGCTGTACACACCCTCACCGCTCTCCTCTCCGAACCCAGCCTCTTCGCCGTCAAGCCGCGTCTCCTTCTTGATCGTCTTGCTGATCCATATGTAGCCGTTCAAGCCGATTATCAGGTCGACGCCGAACGGGAGCGTATGGAAGTGCGATTTCGAGCGGACGACGAGGGCGGGAGGGACGGTGACGAGCTGGCCATTCTTGAGCTGCGGGGCAAAGTTCTTCAGCCCCGATCGCCCGTAGATACAGAGTCGCCGCTACGCACCTTGCCGTACTTGAGCGACCGCGTATGCAGACTCATCGCGCCGTCGCCAAAGAATGCCTGCACCTCTGCAACCAGCAGGTCTCCCTCTTGGAAGAACGTCCGCATCTGCAGCTCGTCCGACTCAAGTTTTCGTCGCTGTACAGAATATGCTGGATGTCAGCAGGAGAGGCGGGGGTGCGGATCAGGCTCGAGGCGCACCTGCACACCTCCAGGCAGATTGATCGACGAGAGCATGAGCACAGCATTTTGTGAGGCATGCGTCTCGACCTTCCATCGCTTTGGTCCGACCTGGCGAGAAAGTGGAGCGTTGTCAGTTCGGGAGTGAGCGAACGAGAGGAAAGGGACCCTCACCTCGACTATCCGGCCGACGACCAAGTCTCCGACTTCGCCGCGGTACCTGCGCAGGACAGTTTACTGTCAAGATTTTGACTTGGTGACTACCGGCTGAGACCGCTTCACGCACTTTGTCCGCAGCGGCCGCACGCTCACGAGCTTGTTGACCCGCTCGAGCGTTCCCGCAACACTCGCCAGCACTTTGTCGTCCTGGACATACGTTCCGTGACCCCTGTGGAATGTCACAAGCATCGTCAGGCCCGGAAACAAGCGAGCTGGGTGCAGCAGCGGAGACGCACCTCATCCATCGCTGAGCGTCCGCGATGACCTCGCCTGGTCCCGTCACTCGGCCTGCCTCGCCAGCATCGAGGTCTCCCCGTCTTCCCAGATCATCCGCCAGCTCGTCCAAGAAGTCGTCCGCCATGGGCTGGTCGTAGTGAGCGGGGCGACGAGTCGAGGGTCCCGGGTCGAGCGGGAACGGTGCTGGCTGCGGCGTGTGGATGCGGAACATGGCTGGATGCCCTCTGAAAAGTAGTACGAGCTCAAGCAAGCCCGTCTGGACGGTGTCAGCGAGTTGTCCTTGTCCAACGAGCTCGCGCTTCATCTCTCGCTCGTCACCTTCGCTCGCGTACGCTCAGACTGCTCGCTGGAGACGCTTACTGGGTCTGAGGACTGCCTAGGACACGAGTGTCTTGTCAGCGCGACCCCCACGCCCTCTTCTCCCGCCGTTTGCGCCCCCAACCTTTTCCTCATCTCCTCCGCCCTCTCGCTCGTCACGACCGCCCGAGTGACCTAGCATGTCCGACACTGGAGCGCCGAAGGGACGAGGAAGGGGCCGAGGCCGCCGCGTCGGCGCCACGACGCTGTCCGGCGCGACAATCGACACCAACACTGCCTCTCCCTCCCCTCAACCCGCCGCCGCCGACTCGTCTGCATCCGCCTCACGCGCTTCGTCAGTCTCGGCGCCAAGGGGAGCAAGTGGGACGCCGGCGCCGTCAGCCGAGGCAACGGAGGACGCGCCAGAACCGTCAAACACCGCCGCCTCTTTCTCGGCTGCCCCTCAACGTCGCGCATCCGTCAAGCGCGTTCCCTCCGTCGGTGTAGGCTCGACGCGCGCGCCCTCCGTCGGCCTCGCACGTACCCCGTCGATTGGGCTGGCAGGAGGAAGGGACAGGCCCGTTGGCGGTTTGCTCGGCAGCACGAGCGAGTTCAGGAGGGATGCGACGGCCGGTCCGTCAACAGCTAGGGGCACCAAGTTCAAGCCGAACATGAGGCGGAAGGAGCGTGTAGTGGATGACGACGAAGAGTGCGTCCACCTTTCCATGCCGTTGCTCCTCAAGCTGATCTCCTCGTTTCGCCACCGCAGCGATGTCAAGATGGTGAGCGGCGCGTCCCTTTCATACTCACGCGGTCGAGCGCTGACAAGTGTCTTTCTCTGCAGGAGGATGGCGAAAGCAACTGGCGGAACAAGCGCGGTCCCCGCCCTCCGCCTCGCCCGCGCCAGGATCTGCAAATGACCGCGAGTGGTCCAATGGCGCAAGGTCCTGGCGGTCCTCGTGCGTCGCACTTCAGTCACTTCTGGTAGTCGTGTCACTGACGAGGCTCTCTCGCAACACAGCCAAAACATGGGGCGCGCGTCCGACTGCTGGCGCTTCTGGTGCAGCCGTCATGGCCGCCTCTCGCGCCGGCACGCTCAATCAGATGATCGACGACGACGAAGACGCGTCCGACCTCGAAGTCGACGACGACCCGTACGACGAGGCGGGCGGACTGCGGTTCAAGGCGGTCGACTTGAACGACATTGGTTCGGCGAAAAAGAGGGAGGGAGATGATGGGATGGCGCCGTTAACGCTGCCGAGGGATCCAAAAGTGCTGCGGACCAAGATCAGGCGGTTGCAGGAGCGGAAGCAGGAGAGGCTTAAGAAGGAGGGTGAGTCCGGCCGCACAGCCATTTGCTCGGTTCTCTTGCGGCTGCGGATGGGTAAACTGATCCGAAGCTTGGACCGGATCTCGCAGCTGCTCGCGCCAAATCCGAAGCCGGCGTCAAGGCGGAACCGCAGGACGACTCGCTTCCCGGTTCTGGGACTTCGACTCCGGCGACTGCCGCGACCCCCGCTCCGCTCCATTCCAAGGAAGGCTCGCTCGCTTTGATGAGTGTCGACGAGGACAAGGAGGCGAAGGACCTCAAGGACCTCGAAGAAGAGGAGAAGAAGGAGATCATCCTCAGCGAGGCGTTCGACCTGGCGGTACGTCCAGACGACGTATACGATCACGAAGCTCGCTGACAGCTCGCCTGGCACAGCCCGAAACGCGCGGCGAGCTGTACATGTTCCAGTTCCCACGCAAGTTCCCCGAATTCGTCCCATCCTCATCCGTCAAGTCCGAGTCCGACCCATCCGGCGACCTCGCCTCGCTCTCAATCAAGCCGGACCCCGATGCGCTTGCACCGCGCAAAGTCGTGCCCCCGCCTTGGGGACGGTTCGGGACGAGGACGGAGAAGGCGGCGAGGTGGAGTGAGCATGAGGGCAGGATTGGGGAGTTGTGTGTGCATAGGAGTGGGAAGGTGACGCTCAGGCTGGAGGGCGACTTGCGCTACGAGGTGCATGCTGAAATCTGCTCGTGCACACGTCAAGTCGGACGTTGACAAGCTTCCCCTTGCTTCGCCCGTTGCAGGTCCTCCCGGCCGCCCAGCCGTCATTCCTGCAGGAGATCGCCGTCCTCGACCACCCCTCCAAGAACACCTCTATCAACGGCACCTCGAAAAAGCCGAAATCGCGCCGTCGCTCCTCCTCGACCTCCTCCTCCTCCTCTTCCAGCTCCTCTTCCTCCGACTCTCCCTCGTCCTCGAAAAAGGCTCCAGCACTTCCAGCAGACTCGCTCGTCGTCCTCGGCCAGACGAGCAAGAAGTTCATCGTGGTGCCGCAGATTGAGGACTTGTTGGAGAAGGTGGGCGAACAGGAGAAGAAGGAGCGCGAGGAGGAGAGGAGGTTGAGGATGGAGAAGGCCAAGAGGGAGGGAGGGGTCAAGCGTGAAGGGAAGCGCTAGGCGTGTCGAGGCGTGTGAGGCGCGGAGGTCCAGGACGCGGTGGATGCGGGAGGTGCCGATCGAGCGCTTGCAAGGCTTTCGTGCGCATACAGTGTCGCTCCTCAGAGTGCGAGAGCGGAATGCGCGAGCGACGAAAAGAGCGAGGAGGCCCACCAACGAGGAGATGGTGAAAGCGGTGTTCGTACATTCACAGCACATCTTCGCGAGCACAACCTATGCACATCCTCCTCCTTCCGCTCGTCCCGTCTACAGGTAGTAAGGTGCTCTTCCTGCGTCGACGCCATACTCCTTGAGCGCTGCCGAGAGGTCTTCCATCGTGAGGACGGTGCGTTGCCGGCCCTGCGAGTACAAGTGGTCAGTATTGTCACACGGACGTGCTGCGCCATGCTCGAACAGAGCCTCTACACAGCAGCTGTGCAAGCAAGAGCGCCGCCTCGCAAGCCAAAGAGACGCAAGAATTCACCTTCGCCTTCGGCTGTCCCGCCGCTCCTCCGCTCCCACCGGTTGCACCCGTCGCGCCCGGTCCAACCGCCGCACTCGTCCCGGTAACGTTCGCTCGCCCAGACGGACCGGCGGCTGTTCGTGCGCGGGCGTACTGAAAGGCGTCGGCTGAGATTGAGGAGACGAACCGTTGGGCTGAGAGGGCGAGGAGGCGTTTTCTGCGTGCCATTAAGGACAGCAAAGCTTGTTAGCGTTGTGAGAGCGCGTAAGGGGAGACTGGACGAACACTCGGACGTCGTTCGTGTCGAACCCTGCTCGTTGGAGGTAGTAGTCGGTCACCTCGTCCGGGATCTGCCGCAGAGCAATAGTGAGCTACTCGCCCACAAACGAAGACACGAATGCACCACAACCGAGTAGCTAGGGGGCGCCCGCGAGCGAGTGAAGCGAACGAGACTCACGACAGGCTTGTAGTCGTCCATCATCTCGAGCAGCTGCGCCAGCTCCAGGTCCTTCCTTTCCTGCTCCAACTCCCTCCTCGATTTCTGACCCTCGCCCGCCTCTGCCGCACCCGCACCCGCCTCGTCCAGCATCATCTGCGCGTCGAGTGGCTTCTGGTCCACACCGCTCGAGGGCGCGCCATTCGATGCGGACGCTTGTCCGCGCGTGTTGTGCGTGTGCTGGGGCTGTTGTGATGACTCGGCCCGGGCGTGCGAGCGGAGGAAGAGGTCGTTTGGGTTCATCGCGACCGGAGCAGGCGGGGGAGGGAGGGTGGCAGCCAAGGCGGTTTGGCGGGTCGACTCGGGGTTCGTTGTGATGATACGAGCAGTTGCAGGCAGTTAGGGAGCGGAACAAGCCAGCAGGGGAGGGTAAGCGGTGGGAGTGAGAGTGCGGGCGACGAGGAGGATGAGAGTTGGGTGAGAGGGTCGTCGACAGCTCGCAGAAAAAGCGCGAGTTGGACGAGGTCTTCTTGTGAGTGCATTAAAAAGGTATCACGAGTACTGCCAGCTCATCTGGATGCGAGTTCGGCGAGTCGCAAGTGGACTTAGTCCCTGCGCTTGCCCAATCTCGCGCTCTCTCTTCAGCTCTGCTCACCCCGACGCTCACCCGACAACCAGCCAGTCAGTCTACCACTCCTTCGCACTCTCTGCACTCGCTACGCATCACCCAGCAACCACCAAACTGGCGCGCGGTCGAGCGGGTCGACAGACCCTGACCAGGACCGAAAACTCGACGCCATCTCTTCGCGCGCTTGGCATCGATCTGGGAGGGTCGGGAATGGGTGCACCGTGCTGCTGGGATGGCAAAGGATATACAGGAGAATGGGCGGGTCATGGGGATCGGAGGGGAGATGTTGGCGACCCAAAGGTCGACCCGCCCTCCTCGCTCGCTTCGCAACCGTTCGAGGGGGGCTTGGGCAGGGTTCGCTGCATTACTGGTGTGCCGTGGGATGCGCTGGCGAGACGACGGACGTTAGGGACTGCGGGATGCGAGATGCGGGGAGAACCCTGGCTCGCTCGCTTGGAGCAGTTCAGGATGGCGCGGCCAAATTGGCGCGGAATTCTATGGGCTGCTGGATCATTAGGAGAACGCAGGAGGTGTCGAAGGAGCGCCGCCGCTGACCCGCTCGTTCCGCTCCACAGTGGCCCCCGCTGCTCAGAAGAAGACCAAGAAGTCGGCCGACAACATCAACGCGCGTCTCGCGCTTGTCATCAAGTCGGGCAAGTACTCGCTTGGGTACAAGTCGACCCTCAAGGCGATGCGCTCGGGCAAGGGTGCGTTTCCCAACCTCCCCCTCCTCCTTTCCTCCCCTCGGGCTGACCCTCGCTCTCCTCCCCGTCCACAGCCAAGCTCGTCCTCATCTCGGGCAACACTCCTCCTCTCCGTCGCTCGGAGTTGGAGTACTACGCCATGCTCAGCAAGACGCCCGTCCACCTCTACCAGGGCTCCAACGTCGCCCTCGGTACCGCCGCCGGCAAGCTCTTCCGCGTCGGTGTCATGTCGGTCGAGGACGCCGGTGACTCGGACCTCCTCTCCATCACCGCCTAAGTGTTGGTAGGGTTTGTGTGCAACAGTCCATCACGCTGAGAAGGAACTATGTTCCGGAGCGTCCACATCAGAGAGAAGAGAGAGAGAGAGAGAAGCCCTGACGTTGCTCGCTCAGTTCCCGCCTGAAATGGACAGCCCACATCCACGGACGAGCCAAGAGGAGAGAGAGAAACGAAGCGAACAGATGCGAAAGCGCCGACTACAGCAACACCCTCTTGTCAGCGTGCATGCCGCCGCCTCTCGACCCTCTTCCCT